AAAATTTGAAGTTTCATTTCATTTATAAGGATTTCCTAGTGATAAGATTTCTCTTTAATTTTTGTCCAGTGTGTGGACGACAAACAAAAATTAAAGCCTCTCTACATCCAACCAGTGTAGAAGAAGCTCCAATTTGTAATCTATATTGACCCTAGATTTAATTCCATTTTCTTTTTGCAAGAAGAAAGTGGAGAATAATCTAATGTCAAATCTTATATTTTCCTTGTTTTTACTATTTGTATTCCCTTTCACTTGTGATGACATAAAGTATGAATACCGATAATTTTAAATTTTAAAAGGAAAATAAAAATAGAAAACCAAATATACACACACATTAGTATAGTTCACAAAAGTAAGTTTGATTAAAACAACATTCTCCAAGAAATTTTCAACTAACAACACAAGATCATTTCGTTTTACTTTTTGTGAGAGTGAAATATATTGCACTATTTTGTATTTGAATAGTTATATAAAATTATATAACATCGTATAATTAGTATAACTTTGTCAATTATTAAAGATGTTTCAAAATAGAATGAGACATGTAAATTGAGGTTATATGTTCTTCTTTGTCCAATTTAACAATCCGGTATTTGAGCACCAAAGAGACCCACTAAGGCCCGGGGAACTTCCCCTACCAAAAGGATCCCACTTTCTAACGCTGGTAGACATATGGTTAAGGGCGAAGAAACTGTAATAATTCATATGTCAGAGCTCAAGTTCATAACACTTATTATCCACCCTTTACGATGGACGTCACAATCACCCCTCATCTACCCCTAGGGACTCAGCATCCTCGTTCAAGTTTGCCCCACCACCATATTGTCACAATCACCCCTCATCTACCCCTAAGGACTCAGCATCTTCGCTCAAGTTTGCCCCACCACTATACTGAGGGAGCATGAGGCTCTGTTAACATATTTATCACAACCCATGCCATGGTACTTATTGTTCGTTTTGGCCCAACAAACCTCACTAATTTTTTCATTGGGTTGCGCTATCATTGAGTCCAAAAGTGTACATACCATGTGAACTTATGTTATGCCTTATAAAACTCTTTATTTCCTCTCACATTCTAGTGTTGGTTTTCTCTTAGGTAACATGGGCATCCTTTCTTCGGAAGCTTGCCGGTATAAAAATCTGTTAGTCCTGCTTGACCCGTTCTCATTGGTCTGCTCTCGTCACAACTCACAAGAACCACACCACATTAATTGGTAGTATATGTTTTCGATTATAGTTATTACTTATTGAAAAATTGCATTAAATAGTTAGGAGGGAAAAAGAAAGATAAGGCTTATCACCTTTTTCCAGGATAAAAAGTTTTTAGAAAAGTATGGAGATTTAAGTTTAAGGTTATATGGAACAACTTTTCTAATCAAACAAGTTCTCATTCGATATATTAAATTAACTTTCTTAAATGGACTTTTGCCCACATCATGTTACATAATTCGCAGATGTGTGGTACCACTTGGTTAAGGAGAATATAAGGGGGGATTACCCTCTATAAGGAAAAAAGATAACCTCCCATGGAATATATTAATATAATCCTTCAATGTGCCTTCTTTTTTTTTATTCTTTTCTTCTTCTCTTTTTTTGGTTCACTTCTTGGGCATATACATTTTTCCAGTTATTTTCTTGGGAAACCTGTGGATCAGAATAGCTTTACTTGTATTCCTTTCCAAATATTATTTGACAAGTTAAATTTGTCTCCAAGATTAAATCTATTTTTAGAAAAAAGAAAGTATATTTTTCACAAATTTCCTAGTTTCAGAGAGCTTAAAGCTTATCAATGACTTCACAACTTCTTTATATTAAAAGTCCAAATGCAAATAAAAAGTTTCACAGCATCTAATGAAACATCAGTATTTATTACCAGAAGATCCACTATCATCATTATCTCTTACAATTCAAGGATTCATTATTCCCAAAGCATTAAAAAGAAAACCACCAAAAGCATCCAATCCCAAGAAGGATTAGTAGAATTCCAAATCAATAAAAGCCATTCTCCCTATCCCCTTCTTCATGCCCACATCCTCCACAAACCCCAAAGCCAACTTTTGGGATTTGAAATCCTCCCCAAACTAAGGATCCCCATGCCTTGTAAATATGAATTCACCACTATCCAAGACAATTAGTAGATAATTGTTCAGATCAACTTGCACCACCTCAACTATGAGCCGTTTGGACATAAGAAATTTTTTTTTTTTTAAAAATATTTTTATTTTTTTTCGAAATCAGCGTTTATTCATAAAATTTTTAATTTTCACTTGAAGATGCATTTTGGAATTTTTTGAAATTTTAAAAAACTTCAAAAAACTGTTTTTCAAAACTTTCACTCAGATTACTCACAAAATTTAAAAAACAACCCAAAATTATATTCATGTCCAAACACAACTCTAATTTTTAAATAATATTTTCACTTGAAAAAAATTTTCCTTTTTTTTTTAATTTTACAATTCTTTATGTCCAAACGCCCACTATATCATTAAATATTTGTTAATCTCACCAATACAGATAATGCCCATTAAAGTTTAGGTAGATGAGAAAAAATTACATACTATTATCTTTATTGAAATTTGAACCCTAATCTTTAAAATTGTACTCAATTCATCGAGTACTAGACCCTAAGAGCGCAATCCAAGACAATTGGTATATATTTATATCATGTTGTAGGAAACACAAAGAATGACAAAGTGTATTTTAAAGATAGAATAAAATCCGATGAAGGGATATGGATTCCAATTCCAATTACTTTGAACTTCGTGTTACATCAGATGATTATTCACATGTACATTTACATACCATTTTCTAGCACTAACATTATTCCAAGACTCCATAGAATCAGTAGTAAGAAAAACCTTTTTTTTGTAGCAGAAAGATATCGTCGCTTACCTTTATATCTGTGTTTCTTCTCTTTTAAAATAAGCATAGTACCAAAACTCAGAAAATATTAACAATCTTGAAAATGAAATAACTTCATATCAATGCTGAATTGTCACAAATGCTGATAATCCCTTTTTCAGTACAATGAAATATCAGTCTACTTAAATCAAGGTAAAAACTTTTTTGACTAAGAGACTACACAATAATATTGAAGAAACATCACCTGCACCGGGTCTCATTTCTCAATAACCCATTCTTCTACTACCTGATATAAATAATTAATTTAAATAATAAAGAAAAATAATATTTTTCAGAATTTTGGAGCTCCTTTGCTGGCTTCTTCTCTGCTTACAGTTGACCTGCTCAGAAGCCAGCATGAAGAAATCATAAGAATGTAGACAGATTACTAAAACGGCATCCGCGTTCACACAGGGTCCGGGGAAAGGCCGCACTCCAAGAGGGTGTGATGTAGACAGTCTACTCTAATGCAAGCATTAGTGGCTGCTTCCACGGCTCGAACCCGTAACCTATACATCACACGGAGACAAATGTAAAAAGGTTACTCTTTACCAAAATCTTATGTTATGAAAACGCCAAGGCCCGGCAAAATGAAAATAAGGATATTTTTACTGAGCCATTAGCTTATCAAGCTTCATTTGCTCCATCCATGCATTCAATTGATCAAATTGTTCAATCTGGGAATTCGAAGTCGAATCTTCAGCGAGATCTGCAGTAGAGCCTGCGAGACCTAAGACACGAGATGCAGCTTTGTCTTTCAACTCCTGTGGTGATTCTTTGACAAGAGATTGAACCCACGAGATATCAGGCTCTTCTCCATTGTTAGCAAGCTCAAATGACGATGATCTCTTTAACCTACCAAACTCCTCAGTAGTGACAGCCCAATCTGCATTTCCGGTAGAGGAACCCCACTTCGACCAAGTATCTACTGGAGAGCCAACAACAGCAGAAGCTATGGAGCCAAGATCACGAGAGCTAAGACTCCTAAATTGCTGCTGCTTCTCACGTTGAGAAAGCGTAGACACACGGGAACTCATAGGTGATATTGGCTCCATTCCTCGGGGTGACATCCTTCCCGGTGTTTGAACCCCGAAAGAAGCCTGCAATAGAGGATTATCAACATTTTTTGGTGAGAATTTTGTATTAATGGGAGATAACATGCTCTGCTGCGGCTGCTGGAATTGATTGAGAACTGCAGACTTGTGGGTAGGGGAGAAAACTGCTTGAGCTAATGCCTGATCAGAATATCTAGGAGATTCTGCAGAAAATAAATCCTCAAGATTTGAAGGAGTTAGGGTCTTAGGATGAGCTAAACGGTTCAAAGAATTAGCATTCACACTGGACTGTGATAGGCAGGGGAATTCATTTATAAACTGCTGTTGTTGTTGCATATCAAAGTTTAAGTCTTCAGCACGGATGTCTCTTGCATGTAGTGATGACCTCAAGCGACTGGACTGGAAATTGCTGCAAGGAAGATGCAATGCTGGAACATTTGGTTGAGGCCAACTCATGTTTGAGACGCCGTTAGCAGAGGGAGACATCGGAGGAGTGAAAGGTAATGGGGACATGACACGGACCGACGAAGGAGAACCTGGAATAAGGCCCATAGCTGCTGCAAAATCCATGGCATTGGCAGCAGAGGTGTTCGAGCGAGGCGAGGGAACAGCGGAACCAGTAGAGACATACAGGGGTCTGAGTTCTTCCTGTGTGTGGGCAAAGAAGCAAACTCTTCTATTGCACTTTGTACCATCTTTGCAAAGTCGGGTTCTGTACTGAGCAGGATGCAGCCAACACTCAAATACCCCGTGAGCATATTCGCACATGTCCCCTCGTTGGCAAGCTCCCTTACGGAACTCAGGGCAAGGTACACAGCTGTAGTGATATTTTCTTGGATCCCTTCTTCGAGCATTTTCACCAGGATGGACAAATGGGCATTCAGTCCAATCATGAGAATATGCACGAGAACAAGGTCTGATCTTAAACGAGAACATTCTGAATTCATCTGTAGAGTAGATGCTGTTTTTAATGTCAGGCAAGGAGGGGTCAATGGGGTACTCTTTCTTCTCAGATGCAGAAGACACAGGGAGGTCATCAGACTTTGCACTCTTTGGGGAAGAAGTCGAGTCTGAAGTAGAAGAAGGTGATCTATTTCCAGGGGAAGGCGAAAGTGGTGGAGAATTTGAGTTCGAAGTGGCTGTTGACAACCTTAGGCTACACTTTCCCGTTGTATCACTTTTAAGAAGGCTCTCCAGGGATGTTTCTGTTGAGTGAAACTTTGGAGATACAACAATGACATCCTGAGGGCGATGGCCATTGGCATCTTCAGAGTTTGGATCAGCACCAGCTTCTAACAGCATTTTGACAGCATCAACAGCATTCCGAGACCCACCAGACGCAGCACAGTGAAGAGCAGTGCTTTTATCTCGGCCACATGATTGATTCACATCAACTTCAGGTAAAGACAGAATCAGTTTCAGAACATCGATACTGCCATATGTAGCAGCGACCAGCAAAGGAGTTCTATGCTCCAAAACCATTTGCCTTGAGCCCTTTTGGCGCCCATACCACAGTCCAACCTCATGAATACCGGATAGATCATGCTCCATCAATCTCTTAAATGCTACTATGTCATTGTTGGCCGCTAGTTCAAGCAAGCTAACAAAAGAATCTTCAGTTTCAACAGTCAGATGATTCATGTTCATGGTAGTGATCCAACTAATACAAAAGCTGATGCTACAGTTGAATAAAAAATGCTTTTCAACAGCTGCAGTCGAGAACACATACTTTCATCTCGGGATCCACTGTAAACAAAAAATGAAACGAAGCATTAGAATCAAAACATAATGTACCAAGCACAGTCTCGTATGATCAATCCAAAGCTAATGAGAGAAAAAGCTAGCCTTCTGCTAATGCAATTCAATAGGCAAACAAAATAAGAATCAACAACAATCTCTCTGTCAAGATAGAAAGTCAACTCTAGTGGCAGATTCGCAGATTTCAGCTTATTGCATTTTTTGACAGATTTTGAAAAAGCACTATATAAATTACACCATATTTGGTCAACAGACAATGCTACAGCCAAGACAAAGAAACTAATCACTAAGCTCTAACCAAAAACAAAAATGCTAGAAATTCATAAACAACAATACATTTCCCATCAATTGTAAACAGAAGGGAAAAGGAAAGATGCCTCTTTTGCTAGGTGAGGAAACACTAAATTAAAAAGGGTTCATCCTATTTTCTGACTCTCAAAACAATAAAGAAAAGCCACATATCACAGAGACTAATGGCAACCAATAAATAATACTATTCTTTACCAAAATGGAAAAATAATATTCTGCTGTGACCATGCTTTCTTTGAACTGAAGGTTTATTGGAAGCACCCTCTCTGATATCCTCCAAGACCCTACTTGCGGGATTAGGCTGCCTATATTGTTTTTGTACCAAAATGGAAAAATAGAAAAAGGAAGGAGAAAGACTATGACTTAGGCAACCTACTGTAATACTTCTCTCAATTGCAAATTTCATTCTCTGACAAAGAAAAGGAGAAAATCTATTCAAGAATCAATATTTTCCTTTTCTTTTTCTTTTTCTTTTTGATCATTACTGAAGAACCCAAGAGAACTCTTCAAAACAAGATGCTTAAAACAAAACCAACTCCTTTTAAAAGCAAACAATTAAGTACTTCAATAACAAAAAAATAAAAAGACATTAATTACCAACAAGGAATTCTTCAGCAAGAAGCAAAGAAATAAAGTCAAGAAGAGAATCGGAAAAAAAAACTTTTCCCACTAACAGATTAAACAAAAGGTCAAAAGGGGATTAATGGTCTACACCAAAAATCATTTTCCAAAATCCAAAACAAACTCAATCTTCAACTATACATACATAAAACCCATTTTTCTCATATTCAATATGAAAAAACAAGGAAGATAAAAAGAACAGAAAAATAACAAAGCGAAAAAAAAAAATAAAAAAATAACCATCCAAAGTAACAGATACTCCAAGTAAAATACATAACACTGATATTAAAGTAAAGCATTTCTCACCAAAATTTTCAGCTAATAATAACAAAGAATGAAGCTTTTGTCTTTGTATAAGTCCCCACCAACAACAGCAACATCAACAAGCAAGCTTTTGTCTTAGCAAGAGAGAGAGATTGAAAATAGGAAAAAGACTTGATTTTTACAGGTCTAGAGAGAGAAAAGAGAGCGCAAAAACAAGAAAGTTATGATAACACAAGGAGAGAGGGAGATAGCTTCTTCTTCATTTTCTCTTCTCCATTTCCTATGCTCTTTCTCTCTCTCTCTCTCTTTCTTTTTCTTCAACTGCTCAATACTGTCACTATTATTATATTATAATAATAATTAAAACAATAATAATAATATAGTCTAGTACTATGTAAACTATAAAGTACTACTAGTAATCCTCCCTCCTCTCTTTCTCCTTTTCTAAAATTTTGGTTGAATTGAAGTCCTAGTATTAGTAGTCAATATATATATATATATATATATATATNCTCGAACGCCCGTATGTGTCCGACACGAGTGCGGATCTAGAGGTCGGATCCTTCGAGATGTAAATTCTGAGATTCGGGGATACGGATCCTAGTACGGATACGAGTGCACAGATCCAGATCCAGCTACAAATAATTCAAAAATATAAAAATATTTTTAAATTAAGAGAAATTTTATCGAATAATTACGTATAGCTTGTAAAGTGTGGATTCTTCTTTTCTCAAGTTTTAGATAGTAAAAGATTGATTTACTAGATAAGATATGCCATTTTCTTCAAATTTCACCCTAGTTTTTGTTTTAATTTTGGAAATCAAATTGTATCTTGTCTCGAATATTTTTTCTCGTCGTGGTCAAAGTACCCAAAATTATTTGACCAGATCCGATACAAATCTCATACCCACACCCATACTAGTGTCGTGACGATACGAGTGCGACACCTAAAATGCCGTGTCGGGTAACTTAGCTATCAATTCTTTTCTCAATTTTTCAAAAACGGTGTGGGGGCAAATTTATCATTTACGATGTTTTTATTTAAAATATTAAGCTATCAATTTTTCATTATGAAAACTTTCAGAAAAGTAAGCGGCAACTTTGACTTTAAATTAGGGACCCGTTTGTCCACGTATGTTTCTCTTTTTTTCCTGAATTCTTTTTTCAAAAATATGTCTGTTTATAAAATTTTATAAGTTTTTAGAGATTTTTTGAAAATGAGTTTTTTTAAAATCAAAAAGTAATTTTAATCACTTTTTAAAAAAAATCAAAATAACTTTTTTTGCCAAACACAAAAATGCAATATTTTTCCAAGTGTTTGCATATTCAAATATAATTTCAAATTGCTAATATCATTTTTCAATTAACTCCAAATAATATATTTTTTTAAAAATTATAATTTTTATGTCCAAATGCCTACGAAGTTCTTTGATTTGTTTTTTCCTTAATTTAGTATCATTCCTTTTTGTTTCTTTGGCATGATGCCACCTATTTAAAGAACGGAAAAAGGTCGAATATGCCAGTGAACTATGCGAATTAGGACATATATGCCCGTCATTAATAGTTTGGCATAGATATGCCCAATCCGTCAAATACTTGTTCACTCATGCCCTTATTTTAACAGAATTATTATTTTATCTTTCTTAAATAATTAATAATCGGGCCCAAACAGAATCTGCTGACCCGATCCATTAGGACCCGACCCACCCTTATTTCAAAGATATTTTTTGATATATTATTTTTGTTTGATTGAGAAATTGTGTGATAATCATATTTATTTATTTGAGTAATTTGATAATCGATTTGTTTTTTGTTATACATCATTTCGGAAAGTAATCCTACTAAAAAGTAGTAATTGATATTTATTTATTATTTTAATAATATAATATTCGAATTAGTTTGTGCTTTCTTCAATCATTTTACCATCTATTTTTATTTTTCTCAATGGTGCTTGTTATGAAATAGTTATTCAATAAAAATAAAAAAGAAGCACCACTGATTTAACAATGGTGCTTGTTATGAAATAATTAATTAATAAAAGTGGAAAAGAAGCACCACTATTTTAACAATTTATTACTTATTTCATAACAAATTTGTAATGCAGAAAATAATCCAATAAACTTATAATCAATCATATAAAGATCACTTATCTAAACAAAAAAAAAACGGATCCATCAGGTTAAGTTATAGTGAACATGGAGTTATTTGTATTTGTATTGGTGAAAAATACAAATAGATTGTGAAAAAAATAAAAATAGATGGTAAAATGATTGAAGAAAGCACAAACTAATTCGAATATTATATTATTAAAATAATAAATAAATATCAATTACTACTTTTAGTAAGATTACTTCCCGAAATGATGTATAACAAAAAATAAATCGATTATCAAATTACTCAAATAAATAAATATGATTATCACACAATTTCTCAATCAAACAAAAATAATATATCAAAAAATATCTTTGAAATAAGGGTGGGTCGGGTCCTAATGAATCAGGTGAGTAGATTTTGGTTGGGTCCGATTATTAATTATTTAAGAAAGACAAAATAATGGTTCCGTTAAACTAAGGGCATTAATGAGCAAGTATTGGACTGATTGAGTATATTTGTGCCAAACTATTAATGACGGGCATATATGTCCTAATTCGCATAGTTCACTGGCATATATGGCCTTTTCCGTTTAAAGAAGGATAAATTTTCGCGGGAGAATCAAAAAAAAATTCTTCCTTTAGAGGGTTAAAGTTTTTTGTCAAACGAATAACTAAATTAAAGTTTTACTGTTCTTGAATTTAAGAATATTATTATAAGATTGATTCATTATATTAAAAATGAAAAGAGAAGCAAACTTAGGGGAAGAGAAGGAAATCAAGGACATAGATTTGTTCTCGAAGATCTTGTAGTATAATTCGATAAAATTATGTAGCTTTTCATTCAACGTAAAAAACATAAAAGTTAATATTTCATGAATTAAGCATAAAAATTGTATAAAATTTGATTTTATAAAAGTCGGTATCTTGTTTCCTGTAAGGTAATTGATATTTTCATTCGTTAATAGAATTGGAAAACAATTAAGATTAACACTATCTAATAAAGGAAACTTGTCGAAAAAATAATCGAAATATACACTTTGGATTATATTTCTTGGGAAACTTTTTCAAAGAAATTAGCATACATCCTTTGTTTTGAGGCTTAATTGTAAAAAAAAAAAACATTTTTATTTCTTCTCGAATCCATACTACTGAAGTTTGAAAAGTAGAGGAAAATTTAATGAAATACCAAGCTTAAATTGTGGTTGGTGTTAAGTACTAGTTCATTTTTAATTAGAGATTTCGGGTTTGAGTTATGTAGTAGTTTATTTTAGGCAGCGCTTTATCGCTCAATATAAGATTTTCTTGTGCAAATCCAAATTTAATCGAGCTCCAATACGAGTATTGGACACATGCGGAAAACAAAAAAGAAAAAGACTAAGCTATAGTAGTCTTTTTGAGTTTATTTCAATAGGAATAAACTAATTCATACTTGTGGACAACTAGAAACAAAGCAAATTTATCATAGAAATTATCTGTTTATCAGTATCTTTAATAATTCTTATTTTTGTCCATTCTCCTTTTCTCTCTCCAAACATTTATAGTGCTTGTTGAATTCACACCTTCACTATATTCGCATTGATTCTTTGTCATAATGTATTATTGCGATATATAGGAAAGTCACATTAAAATTTATTTGTTTGAAGTACTTACCATTTATTGGAAGCAATAAATATTTGGCATAAAAAAGTACTAGTATTGACTGTATTGTACTATAGTTCTTTCTTAACTATTGCCTTAGCTTTTGGCGAAAAGCAAATGAATTCCCTTAAAAAAAAGAATTTAACAATATTTTTTATTTGGGCGTGATTTTTATAGTAGTAAAATTGATTAACTTCATAAATTCCTTTTATATTAAAATTTGATATTTCACCTATATTACGAATGTTCACCAATATTTTGAATGATCTTTTTATGAGGGGAACATAATTACTATAATTTAGTATCCCACCTTTTTAATAATGGCATTAAGAAATTCCCTCATGCTAAAGTACCTTCACAAGTTAAATGCATTTAATCATGTTGCATTATCATTTATATATAAATAAAATAACTCCACTCCTTCAGCTGCAATCGTGGCAATTATTAATTAGAACTCACAATTAGACCTTATCTTCACATAAATTATTTCGACAATTTGTTTTGTAGCAATAAAATTAGGAAAGGATTATATATATAATAAATTTTGTTTTGTAGCAATGCAATCATGAAATATTTTTTTTTTATTTCTCTATTGGTTGTTTTATTTAAGTACAACATGTATTTATTTGGAGTCTGTCCGAATAGCGTAACGTCCCATGTTTACTTTCTATGGTAAAAGCTTTTCAGCTACATCTCTAAGCTGAGTTGTCCTTATCTACAATACTAACCGTGTTTTTACTAGTAAAATTTATTTGACCCAATATTTATATTAAATGTTGAATACAAATAAATTATATTTTATGTATACATTTATCACTAATCATATATATATTCTTATTTTAATTTTTAATAATTAAAACCAAATTATTTAATTTGATATAAATATCAAATACGAGTAAGATTTTATTATCATGTTACGCAAACGACGAACCCTCCAATTTACTTGTCGATAATTCTAATGTTTGGTTAGCCTGTTTGGCTAAGTTTCTTTTTGGTCAAAGTGTTTTTGTTTTTGGCAAAAAATGGTTCAGAGCTTAGGTGTTGGCCAAGTTTTTATAAGGAAAAAGTGCTTTTGACTAGAACTAGAATCAATTTTTGAGAAACAAAAAAAATAGTTTTTTTCCAATTTTTTTTTCTTAAAAGTACTTTTGAGAAAAAATACACATATAAGCACTTTTTAAAAGTTTGACCGAACAATAATTGCTATTCAAAAATATTTTTTAAATTAAATAGTCAAACATAAATTGCTTATC